AGTGGTCTATAGTGACAGGTTGCTGTCTTTGCCTGCAGACAGTGTAGGGCAGTGTGTTGGACTGAGAACCTGAGTAACATAGACATGAAACCTTATGGATTGGTAAATAATAATGAAACTTGGGCCTATCTCAGTACAAGAAGATGTCTATTCCCATTATGGGGCAAAATAGAAGAATACCAGTTGTGTTTAAAATTTGGTGTATTGAACTTCAGAGATGGCCCAGGGGTTAAGAGGACTTGCTGCTCCCACAGAAGACCTGGGCTGTATTCCCAGCACCCACTTGGTGGCCCACAGTGAACTGTATATCTATTTCCAGGGGATGCAGCACCCCTTTCTGGCCTTCACCAGGCCCCCACTCAGTATATGTACATGCAGGTAGTCATATATGTAGGGTAAAAGGGCCAGCCAAAGTAACACACCCTGAACCTGAAACCAGAGCCAGAGAAACACACCCTGACCCTGAGACCAGAGTCAATTCACTGGCCCTGAAACCAGAGCCGAAAGGTTAAAAAGAGCTAGTGAAAGAAACACACCCTGGCTCTGAAATCAGGGCCAAAGAAACACACTCTGCCCCTGACCAACTCAGGACAAAACCCAACCAATCCCTGAGCATGAAACCAACTAAACACTGAGCACAAAATCCAGCCAATCTGTGAGCTTCTTCAAGCTCAGGCCTTGAAATCCAATCAATTTCCACCCTGAAAGTCTTCACAATGGAAAAACTCTGCCCCTAAGAAGCCTTATTTAAGCCCTGTACCTGTTCAGTTGGGAGCTGCCTTTTTTCCACCCTGGCAGAGGCAACCACTCTCCTGGATTCTTCCCTCCCAATAAATCTCTTGAATGAAGTTTGAATGAGACCTTCTTTTGCTGGAGCAGAACAGAGAAGCAACAACTTTAGCCTGAGCTATAGAGGAGCACAACTGTAATGCTTTTGCTGAGGAAACCTTCCAGTAATGGAGCAGAATTGTTACACTCTGGGGATCTGATCAAAGCTCTAACTACTTCGCTGGGGAATCCTCCTCTGCTGGAGCACAGTGGTTACACTGAGGAAAACTTTTCCCTGTAGCACGGCTGTAAGCTGCTATGCTCATGGTGACTTTGTGGTATTCCTTGGCTTCCCACTGACCGGGTCCTTTTCCATCTGAGCTATAATGCTTATAATATATACACATATTTTTAATGGTAATCATTGGTTGATGAGAAGACATCCCTAGCCTTCCTGATGCCATTCCCTCAGGCAGGTGCCAGCCACCCACAGGCCAGCGTGGGTCCTCAAAGCCTGGCCTGGTGGAAGACATCCATAGACCCGCCTGGTGCTGTAATGGTGCCATTATGATGAGAAAATGTGTGGTGGAGAAATGGGAGAGAAAGTAGCTGAATGAATCAAGTGCTGTAGGAAGAAATGAATTGGTGAGGGACAGGCTGAGGTGGGTGGTCTTCTTGCCACTCCAGAACATCAGGACCCAGGCTGCTGCCCAGGGCCATGTCTGGGTCTGTGGTCCTATCCCAGCTAGGGTCTCTGTTAACATCCATGGTCCATGTTGCCACCAAAGGCCACACAGATGCTTGGAGTCCGGGCTGCAACCTGCAGCCTTGGTGTCTGAGGGCTGTGATGCCACTGGAGTGACACTGATCTTAGTGGCCTGTGCTGCCACCCAGGGCCATGGTGTGATCCTGAGATGCTGCCAAGGGCCATTTCTAAGTCTGTGGCCCTATAGCACCCAGGGTCTTTGATGTCCATGGCCCCTGTTACCATCGAAGGCCATGTGGATGCCCGAGGTCTGGGTCACCATCTGGGGCCATGTTGGTGTCCAAGGTCCATGCTGCAGCTGGGGACGTGTGGATCTGAGTGTCCTGGGCTTCGACCTTGAACATTGGTGACATCTAGAACTGACTGCTGCCAAGGACCACTCATGTCTGGGTCCATGGTCCTACCACAGTCGGGGTCTGTGTTGAAGTCGGAGGCATGTGTTGCCACCAAAGGTCACACAGGAACCTGAGGTCTGGACCTCAACCTGTGGCCATTGGTGTCTGAGGGCCTTGCCTCTGCCAGAGCCATGCTGATCTGAGTGGTCCCTGCTGCCACCTGGAGCCATGGTGTCATCCGGGCTCCAGGTGCTGCCAAGGGCCATGTCTGGGTCCATAGTCCTCCTGCAACAGGGGTCTGTGTTGATGTCTGTGGCCTGTGTTACCACAGGGGCTATAAGAACCATGCATGATGAAATCTGAGGGCCAGGCTGAGCTGGCCCTGCCCTGCTCTGGACACTATAGCAAGGGAATTGGCCCTGACCTTCATGGGAGAGCTGGTTCCACCCCTCATCATGGGCATGGGAAAAGTGGCCCTGATGGCATGGGCATAGGAGAGCTGGCTCTGCCCCTAGCCTGAAGGGGTGGCCCTAGTGTCCAGTCTGACAAACTCAGCTACCACCCAGGCCCACATTCAGGGCCTTGGGTTGGCCATCCTAATATCTGCCCCATCTATGACCTGCTGGAATGATGGAAGGGACTAGTCCTGTGGAACCATAGCTGCAGGACCTCCATTACTCGGGTGGCCGAGAAGTGTTTTGGTGAGGGTCCCCTGATGATGATGTATCAGGAACCAGAGGCCATGAACTAGACCAATGACTTTGCAATGAACGTTTGCAAGTAAAGATGATTGGACAAAAGGGTATACTGTGTGCCTCACCACATATGTTGATCATATTAAAATGTAAATGGGGGCACTAGTATGATGGTGCCTGGCACTGCATCTGATGACCTGAGTTGCATCCCCAGGACCCACATTGTGGGAGCAGAGAAATGACTCCTGCAAGTTGTTCTCTGACCTCTACATGTGCACACTGGATCACGTATTCCCCTGCCAGACACACAAAATAAGCAAGCAGATAAATAAATGTAAAACATGTAAATGGATATAACTTATCAAGAAAAAAATGTTCTTATTGCCTGTTGAAATAGAATCCAAAACCATTGCTTTTCAAGACATATACCTGAAACAAAAGGCATTCGAATGTTAGCTTGAACACTTAAAAATAAGTAAACAATACCATCCAGGTACAAATTATTAGAAGTCAGGGGTTATAATCTTAATGTTTAAGAGAGAACTACAATCAAAATGCAATGAAAGTATTTTGAAACACACCATGTTAGGTCTAAAATTCATTAGGAAAATGTTAGCCTTCATACCTATATTCCAGGCACACAGCAAAATATTGATTGATGCAAAACTACAAGGAGGTATAGGAAAACTGATTACCAATTGCAGATGAATGTAACATACTTTTCTCAATGCAACAGCAATCATGTGAAAATAATGGATCCATCAATGGGAAGACCTGTATAACCTAACCTGATGGGCAGATCCCATAGAAGGACATATGGAACTCTTAAGTCTGATACAATCTTACTCTGTGATGGAAACTTTATTTGATGCTTAATGCAGTTTGCCTGTTTCCTTATCAGCATTTAGAGGTTGTTGTCAGTCTATTGGAAAAAATGAGAGAAATGTCCCAGAGACATGTGAATGGGCCATCATCACAGGAATCACACGGAAAGAGCATAATTTAGTAGCTTTCAGCGTCCCGTGTGCGGTTAGAGATGAATCTGTTGAAGATGTGGTTTTACCTCTTGACCTCTCAGTAAACACCTTAATGAATACCAGGGAGCTAGGATAGTGAGAGTGAGATGTTGTGAATTCGTGAACAGGAATTCCCAGACAGAATCTGGTCTGCAAAGACTGGTGAATGACTGATAGAACTTCAGTGATGTGGAGGAGACCATGGAATGTTGTAGGCCCAGAGCCTAATTACATTTAATTTTGTGCTCTCTTTAGCCCATGAGTAGCCATTCCTCTGCCCCTTTGTGTTGGACTGGCCTAGCATCTTGTCACTAACAGATGAAGTTGCTCCTGACATTTAAAAAATCAGAATATAAACCAGGTGGTGGTGGCCCACGCCTTTAATCCCAGCACTCGGGAGGCAGAGGCAGGTGGATCTCTGTGAGTTTGAGGCCAGCCTGGGCTACAGAGTGAGTTCCAGGAAAGGTTCCAAAGCTACACAGAGAAACCCTGTCTCAAAATATAAAAAAAAATCAGAATATATCACTTTAATAAACCTTAATTTTCTGCCAGTCAAAGGACTGTCATCACAAGGCAGCTAATGCCTGTAGCTGAGGGTTCTCAATTCTCTACTAGAATAGTCTACTTAATAGTTCCACCAACGTATTTAAGAAGTGTCTTGAGTTCTCGTGGCTCACTTTTATTTTTTTTAGTTTTATTTTACATGTCTTACCTGCATATATGTCTGTGATAACATGTGCATGCAGTTCCCACAAAGGCCAGAAGAAGGTGTCAGATCCCTGGAGTTACTGATGTTCATAAATCTCCATGTAGGTGCTGGGAATCTAATGTAAGAGCAGCCAGAGCTCTTGATCATTGACCCATCTCTCTAGTCCCCATAGCACATTTTTTAAACTGGGATGCTTGTTTTCTTGGTGTTTAGAATTTTGTTGTTGTTTGTTTGTTTGTTTTCACTTCTTTGTATATAGCAGACACTAATTCTCTGTCAGATGTACTGCTGGCAAAGCCATTCTGTTGGCTACCTCCTCATTTGATTAACCACGTCCTTGAAGTACAAATGCTTTTCAATTTCATGAATTGTTGATTGCCAGTCTCATTCCTGGGTAAGCAGTAGCCTATCCTGGGTAAGCAGAAATCTCTATCCTGACATATTCTCTCTCCTCCAGAAGTTTCAGGTCTAACATTGAGATCTTTGACTTATTTTGAGTTTTGTGAGCAAAATGAAAGAAAGGGATTAGGTTTCTTTCTACTACATATAGATACACAGTTTTCCAAACATCATTCATTAAAGATGCTGCCTTTTCTCTCTCTCTCTCTCTCTCTCTCTCTCTCTCTATATATATATATATATATATATATATATATATACATACATATAGTAACTTTGTAAAAAAAAAACAATGTCTGTAGGTGCATGGACTTATATTCTATATTTATATTCTGGATCCTCAGTTCTAGTCCATTCATCAATGTCTCTGGTTTTGTTCCAGTACCATCCTGTTTTTACTTCTTTGGCTCTATAGTATAACTTGAAATCAGGTCTGGTGATAGCTCCAGCAATATTTTATTGTTCACAGTTGTTTGGGTTATTTGGTGTCTTTTGGCTTCCATATGAATTTTTAGGGTTTTTTATATTTATTTCTTTTATTTTATATGTGTGAGTGTTTTGCCTGAATGTGTGCATGTGTAACATATGATGTCCACACAGATCAGAAGAGGGCATCTGATTCCCCTGGAAGTGGAGTTACTGGTGGATGTGAGTCACTGTGTGTGTGCTGGGAACCAAACCCAGGCTCTCAACAGCAGCAAGTGCTCTTAACCACGGAATAATCTCATCAGTTCCTTCTTTATTAATTTTAAGACCTTTTTTTTCAATTTCTGTGAAGAATTGCATTGAAGTACTAATGAGGATTTCATTGAATTTGTTTTTGGCAGGATGACCATTTTTACAGTATCAATCATACCAGTCCGCACACATGGGAGGTCTCCACACCTGGAGTACTTCTTCAGTTTCTTACCTCAGTGCTTTCAGGTTTTCAATGTATAGATCTTTCACTGCCTTGGTTAGGTTTATTCCAAGGTATTTTTGTTTGAGACTATTGTGAATAAGATTGTTTTTCTGATTTCTTTCTCAGTCTGTTTTTGTTTGGTATATAGGAAGGCTACTGATTTTGGTAACTTGCCACTCTGCTGAAAGAATTTATCACCTCTAGGAATTTTCTGGTCGAGTCTACAGGATCTGTCATGTACAGAATCTTGCCATTTGTAAACAGGGATAGTAGACTTTCTTTCCTGTTTGTATTCCTTTTATTTCCCTCTCCTGTCTTATTGCTAGGACTTCAAGTACTATACTGAATAAGAGTAGTGAAAGTGGACACTCCTGTCTTCTACTTGATCTCAGTGGGAATGCTTTTTTTTCCTCTATTTGACATAATATTGACTGTCTCAGTTAGGCTCTCCATTGCTGTGATAAAACACCATGATCAAAAACAAGTTGGGGAGGAAAGAGTTTATTTTAGCTTATAGTTCCACATCACTGAGGGAAGAAAGGGCAGGAACTAAAACAGGACAGGAACCTGGAGACGGGAGCTGATGCAGAGGCCATGTGGGTGCTGTTTCCTGGCTTGCTCCTCATGGCTTGCTCATCTTGCTTTGATATAGAATCCAGAACCACTTACTCAGTGGTGATACCACCTACAATGAGCCGAGTCCTCCCACATCAATCACTAACTAAGAAAATGCCCTAAAGACTTACCTACAGGCCAGTCTGGTTGGGGCGTTTTCTCAGTTGAAGTTCTCTCTTTCCAAATGACTTCAGCTTGTGTCAAGTTGACAGAAAACTAGCCAGCATGGTGGCTTTTGGTTTGTCATATACAATACTTATTATGCTGGGATATGCTGCATCTATCCCTGGTCTCTCAGAGGATTTCTTCCACAGGCTCTGGTTTCAGATCTATGGTGGGTTTCTTTCACTGGCTCTGGTTTCAGGGTCAGAGTGGGTTTCTTTCACTGGCCCTTTTACCCTAAAACCACCACTTCCAATCACTGTGAATTTGAAAAATCTAGGATCTCAAATAAGTAATATCATATAAATATAGTATTTGCCCTTTGGTGTCTGGCTGGCTTATTACATTTAGAGTAGTATTGTTAAGGAGCATGTATATTATAGGATTGTCAGAATTTTTTACTTTCTAAGACTATGTAATATTCTGTTGTATCTACATATTGCTTTTTGTTTACTCATTCACTTTACATTTACTGGTATACACTTGATTTGTTTCCAGTTCTGGGCTATGGTTAATAATGCTTCTGTGAACATTGATCTATAATAACTATTCAAGTCCCAGCTTTCAATTGTTGAGGGTTTTGCCCAGAAATAGAATGGGTGGATCACACAATACTTGCATGTTAAGTTTATATATAAATATATGAAAGACAGTACCTGAATGAGTTTATGTGTGCCAGGTGCATATAGGTGCCCACAGAGGTCAGAGGGTGCCAGATCCCTTGGAACTTGTGTTACAGGTGGTTGTGAGCCACCATGTGAGTGCTGGGAACTCAACCCAGGTCCTCCGTAAGAGCAATAAGTGCTGTTAATCTCTGAGGCATCTCTCCAGCCCCTGCATGTTAAATATTTAAGAAAAGAATTGCTCTGTTGTCTGCATGGTGGTTACATCATGTTATATCCCTACTATCAATGGACAAAGATTCCAATTTCTCCACATTAGGCCAAACTTGCAATTAGGTGTTTGTATTCTATTTATAATTGAAATTCTAATAAGTGGGAAATCATGTATCATTGTAATTTTGATTTACATGACCACAATGACTATAGATCTGGTGCATCTTATTGTGTATTGGAAAGAACCCAGGACCTTGCATATGTTAAGCACATGTCCTAGCATGGAACAACAATCACAGCCAGCATTTTTTTTAATCTTGAGAGTTTATTTTTTTTAAAGATTACCTTAGGTCATGTCACATGAATATGAAGAGTTTTCTTTTCCAATTCAAATGCTTTTGATTTTGCTTGCCCAAATGAAGTGGTTATAACTTCCAGCAAAATTCTGAATGCAAATGTCTTCTTTCTAATCTCAAAGAAAAACCTTTCAGGCTTTCCCCAACTGTGTATACTAGCCATGAATTTTTCACACTGGGTTTTGTAAAGGTTCTATTTGCTGACCCTAATAGTAGGAAATAAACCCAAAACAACCTCTTCCACCAGAATTCCTAAGTGGTGTGTGTAGTTTATGGCAGCTTACCTCCTAAAGTTTATAAACAATCTCATAGTTGCCAGTCTATTAACAATTAACTTCTATTACATTTTCTGAAGTCACATAAGTTGGGTACCAAGCCAGTTTTCCACACTGGGCTCCCCTCTGTGAACCTTAATTAGCTAGTTGTGGCCACCCATACCTGATTAAATAAGCAATTTCCCAAATATGTTATTTTAGGCAAACACAAATTGTCAATCACACACAAATAAAATAAGGACAAGCTGTTACTAGAACATATACAGGTTATCATATGAGCATGAAAAATGAAAATACTCAATTTAAATTTCAACAACAATTTTATGCTCAATAAAGAGTGGGGAAGCAACAGGAAAATATTTTCTTTTCAAATTTTCATTTTACAGGGACTAGGGAGATGGCTCAGTGAGTAACAGTGCTTACTGTATGAGCATGAGAACCTGACTATGAATCCCTAGCAACCACATAAAACAAGTCAGGCATGGCTGCACATGCTTATCATCCCAGCATTGTGGGGCAGAGACATTCGAATGCTTGGAACTTATTGACCAGCCAGTTTAGCTGAAGAATCAAGCTTATGAGTCAGAGATTAGACCTTACCTTAAAGGAATAATGAAGAGAGAAACAGGAGATAACAACCAATGCCTTCATTGACCTCCACACACAGGCATGTGTTACCTCTGTATACCTGGGTTATATATGTACCACATATATACTATATACTTCTCTCCCAAAATTTCCATTTTACAGTATCATATTTCCTAAATTGCTATAAGTTTGAGATAGTATAACTAAGACATGACTGGTATATACAAATAGTGTGACTACTGTGGTAAATAAGCCTGGAGTAGGGACTTGTGGCTGGTACTGGACAGGCTTTGGGAAAAACCAAGCCACTAGTTTCAACATGTCCTCAAAACAAATGAAAATAAGACCTGGAGAAATCCACATCAATGGCTTAGAGTCAATCGAGCACACACACACACACACACACACACACACACACACACACACACACACACACACACGAGATAGAAGTAGACTCAGTAAGACCCTGTTGGCTAGTTTAACGTCAACTTGACACAAAGTAGTCATTTTGGAAGAGGAAACCTCAATAGAGAAAAACTCTCCACCTGATTGGCCGTAAGTAGTGACTGATAGGGGAGATCCCAGCTCACTGTGAGCAGTGCCACCTCTGGGCTGGTGCTCCCGGGTACTCTAAGAAATCAAGCTGAGCAAGACACGAGGAGCTAGCCGGTAAGCAGCACCCCTCCATGGCTTCTACTTTAGTTCCTGCCTCCAGGTTCCTGTCCTGCTCAAAGTCTTGCCCTGACTTCCCTTGGTGGTGGACTGTTACCTGGATGTTTAAGAAGAGATAAATTATTTTCTCTTCAGCTTGTTTTTGGTTATAGTATTTTATCACAGAAATAAAAACATGAAGATAAACACTGACTCTCACCAGGCAGTGGTGGTGCATGCCTTTAATCCCACAGTTGAGAGGCAAAGGCAAGCAGATCTCCACGAGTTTGAGGACAGCCTGGTCTACAGAGCTAGTTCCAGGACAGACAGGGCTACACAAAGAAACCCTGTCTCAAAAAACCAAAAAAAAAAAAAAAAGACTGACTCTTTTTAGAATTACCCATAGTCAATATTTCTACTGCGTATTGACTATTATAACAAGGACTGATAATGCTAAATTAGCAGACCATATTGAACCCCTTTATATAATGAGAAAATGCAGCATTATTCACTTTGAACTTATATTTTAAAAACTAATATACAGCACACGTAGTCATTTGGGGGAACAGCTGCTCTCTAACACATAAACAACTTTATCCACACCTAGACAGGCCCTAGAGGCAAGCCCTGAACCAATGCTCATCCACATGTTGGGAGAACGCCTATTGGTTCTCCCAGACTATGAGGCCACAGTGCTCTTCCCTGCAGACCACGCCCCCTTCCTGTTTCCTGGGTCCTAATGACATTTGTGCTTTTGGCTCACTCCTTTGGGCCACAACTGTGGGCTAGAAAACTGTTTTGCTGCACGATAGCCTTGATTCATGATGCACAAACTGACCTCTTGTTCTTCCCAAGTAGAAGAGCAAAGGGAACTCTTGCATTTGCCTACTTAACCCTTTAATGCCCTGGTAAGTCTAAAAATGTCAGGATGGGAGACTCTCTGCTTCTTTCTTGACATATTCTATCTCCCCACCACTGTGCTGACATCCATTTCCACAGGGCTATCAGGCTTCCTTCCTCGGAGACACACATTCTAGACGTTGGCCAATCATGCAAACATCAGCCAAGTGTGAGAGTAAAGCAAGAATTGCTTGTAAGGGAGAGGAGTTTAAAATGGCTGTGGTTAATTTAGCAATGGTAATTTTCTAATGCAAAATTAGAGAGGCATCTGTAATCAAAATAGTGTGATGAGATTTGCTTGTTTTTATGGCAACAAGTGTAACAAAGTCAGTTCCTAAAATTATAGAATAAACATGTATATTGCTAATTTTCATGCCTTCACTTATAAGAGCGAATGTTACATCTGATTCACAAAAACTGATGGTTCTAATACTTGTAAAGAAAATATCTTGCGATAAAACATGTAATTATTCCTCAGGACATAATGTATCACCAGTGTATAAAGCAGTAATCATATACACTAAAAGAACATCAAATAAAGAGACTCAGTATGTCTGGGGTAGGCTCCAAACACCTGCATTTCACCAAAACTGTACCGGAAACTTTTTAACCAACATAGGTCCACAGGTTTAACAGGCTGCTACTGTGTAATTGTCAGTTTTCACCATGTACCGTGTTTCTGAATTTCATCTATACCCTATCTACCCCACTTCTCTCATTACTACCGGTATATTGTTTGGCACTGTGTGCCTGTACAATGAAGATTAGTGCTGTTTTAAAATGTGATCCAGGGCCAATGAGTGGGTAAAGCACTTTTGACAATCCTGATGATCTAATTCAATCCTTGGGACCCACATGATGGAAAGAGAGAACTGATTCCATCATGCTCTCAATGCTGTCCTCTGACCTCCATACACATGCTAAGGCAGATACATACACACACACACACACACACACACACACACACACACACACACACACATACACGAGAGAGAGAGAGAGAGAGAGAGAGAGAGAGAGAGAGAGAGAGAGAGAGAGAGAGAGAGGAGAGGAGAGAGAATACATGCATATATATACTATATACATATGTATATCTTACATGAATGGATATTTGAAAACTACTGTCTAGACGCCTTGCTTGCATAAATCTCCTTGTGGCTATCTGTTAGATGTTCTGCATATATGAACTTGTGGGTGCATTTGAAATGTCAATAGATCGATGCAATCTGCAAAGTCAGTCTACCTTGTCACAGTCTAATCAGTTGTGTGCAGCTCATTTAAAGAGGGCACCAGGTGTCTGATCTACAAACAGGTCTTTGTGTCAAGCTCATGAAAATTATGACAGAAGCGTTTTCTCTTATTAGAATGCCTTTCTACTATAATTAACATTTTATTACTGTGGTGGTTTGAATGAGAAGGGCCCCCATAGGCTCATATATTTGAATACCTGGTCTCCAGTTGGTGGGACTATTTGGGAAGGATTAGGCAGTATGGCCTGGGTGGAGGAGGTGTGAAACTTGGGGGTGGGTTTTGAAGTTTCAGAAGCCTCATGCCATTCCCACTGCTTGCCTTTGGCCTCTTGCTTGCAGACCAGAAGGTAAACTCTCAGCTGTTCCTTTGCTTCACTATCATGGACTCAAACCCTCTCAAACTATAAGCCAAATTAATTGCTTTCTTTTCTAAGTTGCCTTGGTCATTGTGCTTTATCACAGCAATAGGAAGGGAACAAATATAAGCATCTTGCTTTTTTTTCTTTTCTTGTAAGCTTTATTTTATCACTCTTATCCACCACACATCAGGAAGCTATCAACGACAGTGCATCGCATGGTGAGTCAGTTTACAACAAAACTGAACAAGGCAGTTGTGTTTACAGAAGTTTTCAGCAGAAGTCCGCAATGCAGCTCGCTGAAACACAGTGCTCACACTTTATAGGGAGGTGGAGATAAAGTCCTCTGGTATCAGCAAGAAAACAGACGTCTGAAAGAGTGGTATGGAAATCAGAAATTTAGGGATTTGAAAAAAGAACATCTTGGTATTAAAACACATCTATCTACATTTACAGTCCCACTTAGTTCAAACAAGCAACAACAACCAAAGCCCAACCATTCACAAGCAGTAAAACACCACCAAACCCAGACTCATAGCATCAAGAAATGCCAAGACCAACAGGCTACTGAAACAGCAGGGAGAAATGTCACAGACCACGCACTGCGCACTGCAATGTTCCTGTCGCTCAAGCATCTTGCTTTTGCAGTCTGTAAATGCACTCCTAATAAAAAATATAATATAAAATCTACAATGTATACAGGCAGCATGTCTCTGTTTTTGTATTTCTCTTACTATTTCACAGGAATTCTAGTTTAGCCTCAAGATCACCACTGCACTGCGGTCTTTACACACCACTGACGGGAATGTTAACTGGTGTATTTCTTTTATGAACAACAGTATGGAAGTTATCCAAAGAAATCAAAATAGAAGTACCATATGACATAGCTATACCACTTTTGGGTGTATACACAATGGACTCGAACTCAATATACCACAGAGCTATTTGCTAGTCTATGTTTATTGCTGCACTGTTCACAATAGTTAAGTGGAACCAGCACAGAGGTCCACAAACATGAATGGATAAAGAAAATGTGGTAAAGGGCTTAGTGGGTAAAGGCACATGACACCAAGCCCGACAAGGTGAGATCAGTCTTCAGGAAGCTGATGGTGAAAGGAGAGAATGAAGTCCCTGCAGTCCTCTGACGTGCACACACTCTCTGTGTAGAGCACGAGTACATATGCACAGGTATATACAAAATAAAGGCGAAAGCCTTGGCAGGAAGTGGGTGCAACTGGAAATTATCTTAAGTAAAGTAAGGTAAAACTCAGAAAAACAGATACTCGCCATTTACTCACGTATACAGGGTCTAAATTAAAAAAAAAGTGTGTGTGTATGTGTGTGTGTGTGTGTGTGTGTGTGTGTGTGTGTGTGGAAAGCGGGAAGAGGACCGTGGGAGGGGGAATGAAGGAAAAAGGGTTTTAGTGGGATACATGTGACCTGAATGAAAGTCAAAGAGAAGGCTATCTGGGAATGAAGAACAAAGTGAATGACACATGAGGATTAAAAGGCCATAATAAATCCACACTTTCCATAACTTAAAACTCATTTAAAAAATAAAAATAGTAAGACATTGTCTTGTGCTTTAGAGATCATTTTGGACAGTTCAAAGAGGGGAAAGAAAGATACTCATACACATTATAGGACACATTCAAGGCCATTTCTGTGGCGAAGAATGCTACAGTGAGGGTGGACAGTGTGTTCAATGTCACTGTTAGACCCGAGCAAGGTGTTCTGCGGTTCTACTGCATGGGGGTGCAGTATAGTTTTTAAAGCCACAGCGTAGCTGGGTGGTGGTGGCGCATGCCTTTAATCCCAGCACCCGGGAGGCAGAGGCAGGCAGATCTCTGTGAGTTCAAGGCCAGCCTGGGCTACAGAGTGAGTTCTCAGAAAGGTTCCAAAAGCTACACAGAGAAACTCTGTCTCAAAAAAAAAAAGAATTAAAACCACAGTGTATATTTCAAAATAGGTAGGAGAGGAGTTTTCATGTTTCCACTACACAGAAATGATGCACATGTGATGTGTCTGATATGCCAGCCATTGCGTACTACATGCATGAACCGACATAGCACATGGTACCTCATGTTTATACTCATGTTTATGTACTTATGTGTCAAGTCGAAAATAAACTAGAACTTAAAAAGTGAATGGGATAGAATGAGCTGCATAATGAAGGGCATGGTTTTGCCTTTCTTGTAGCCTCTCTGGGTGCAGTAGATTTATTCTGATATATTCACTCCATCACAATTATGATTATGATCTATATTCTGATACCTTCAATGTTGAGAGCTGTGAGTGTTCCTTTTATTGCTGTTCTGTCTGTTTTTATTTATCTTGACATATTGTCTTTTATGGATGAATTATTGGATGCTTTCCTATTGTTTTTGTTATTGATTTCTAATTGTATATATTATTACCAAATAACCCAATTTTTTTTTCTTCAGCTTCTTCAACTTTTTGTATTTGTGTATGTGTGTGACTCAGGATATTTTTTTAAATGAATGATTCACACACATTTTAAGAGAGCGTACATTCTGCTGTTTTAAAGTAGACTATAATGTACACACCCAACAGATCCACTTGGTCAATGGCGTTCAGCTCATCTGGAAATTTGTTGCTTTTGGTTCTCCCAATCCCCTGTATTACTGAACAGGGAATGATGAAGACTCCAATTACAACTATGGATTTGTGTGGTGATATTTTGTTTGTACTCTAATAAACAAAGCTTGCCTGGAGATCAGAGTGCAGAGCTAGCCACTAGTTAACCATAGAGGCCAGGCAGTGGTGGCACACACCTTTAATCCCAGCACTTGGGATCTCGTGCCTTTGATCCCAGTACTTGGGAGAAGAAAACAGGAAGTGATATGGCTGTGCAGAGAGAGGAATGTAAGGTGAGCAGAGACAGGAGCTTGGGTCCCCTTTTCAGGCTGAGGAGTTGCCTAGGTAAGAAGTGGCTGTGGCTTGCCCTTTTGTCTCTCTGATCTTTCGGCATTTACCCCGATATCTGGCTCCAGGTTTTTATTAAGACCAATTAGAATTTGTGCTACAGATTTGTCTGTTCCCCTGTCAGTCCTCTCAGCTTTTGCTCCACAGATTTTGATGCTCCGTTGCTTTATAAGCATCTATTTTTAGAAGCTTTATATCTTCTTGTTTAACGAACTCAAAGTTTCTTCTCCTGAGTTGTCAGACTTAACAAATCTGAATACACGTAGGTCATTCAGTTTCACTTGCATTTCGGATTAAAAAAATTATATTGGGCATTCGTATAACTATTTGTTGTGAGCTGAACTGGATTAATTTAGTCTGGCAACTCTGCACCTGGAATATTCTGTGGAGTAGAGCCAACGTGCTCTGAACAATGTCCAGGGTGAGCTTCAGTAGCTGCAGCCCCCGTGGTCACCATGTGAGGGAGGTTTCCTGATGTCCCAGGGGAGTGGAACCTCCGGGTGACTTCAACCATGGGCGACACACAATGCAGGGGACACAAAACACCCAGGTGGGCCCTTTGCCACTAATGGGCATCTTAGAATTCCATTCAACATGTGTGTTTCCTATTGAGTTCAAGAGACTGAGAGACATACCCTTAGACAAGAGCGTCCCAGAGTTTCTGCTTTGAGTCTGGTGCCTGCCGATGGAGAGCTATCACTCCAGTATCCAGTCCAGCCCAAGATGCATAAAGATTCCATGTCACCCTTCTGGTGCTCAAAGGAAGTGCATTTCTCTCAGGTAAAACGGGAAAAGGAGGAACAGGAAAATAAGGTAACAAGAAAACTCAACAACCACATAAAGTGGAGTCAATAGTGACTAGTTGAATGGAAATGTGATCTCCTTTGTCCCTTCCCCTAAACAAATGAAGACACTCAGTCCACCACATGGACTTACAGGAAAAAGACAAATGTGCCAGAATTTTCCATCCTTCTCTTTTCTCACTTCATCAGTTACTGTACACTGTAGACATTTGATGAATACGACCTAAAGCAAGTGGAAAGGACCAGTGTTACCCATGAGGGCACATTAGCATCACATGCTCCCAGAGGTGATGTGATGAGAAGGGCCCTTCAGCTCTGTGGTATTCTTTCCACACACCCTGAAGAATGGTCTAATTTCAAGAAAGACAGCTAATGAAACCTGTGCTCTTCATGGGTATCAGGGCTACTAAAGCCTTGTAGTAATTCCTCAAATGGATAAGCACAGAGTGACCACGTACCCAGCAATTCCACTTCTAAGTACATACATACTAAGAAAAAGCAAGACCTTAGTCTACATAAACACTTGTACACAAAAGTGTACAGCAACATTACTCATAACATCTCCAATGTGGAAATCACCTAAAGACCACCAAGTGATTATCAGATAAATAAAATGTAAAATAACCAAACAATAGACTATCATTCCACCTTTAAAAAACAAAGAAATAAATCTTCCTACATTCTAGAATATGGATGAACCTTGAAAACATCACAAAATGAAAGGAAGCCTGATGCAAAACAAATATAGCATGAATCCATTTATATCAACTGCCCCAGAAGAGAAAAGGAGAATCCAGAAAGACAGAGCACATCTGTGGCTGGACAGGACAGTACTCCCTTATAATCTCAGCTTTCAGGAAGCAGGCTGAAGCAAGAGGATTGCAAGTTTAAGGTCAGCCCTGACTACAGAGTGAATTCAAAGTCAGACTAGGCTACATAAGCAGAACCTGTCTCACATTTCTATTCCAGATTCAACTGGGGTAGGAGGGTCTAACTATACTAAACCATAATGGGAGGTTTCAAGGTGACAGAAATATCTGAAAGTTATTACAGTGGTGCACAATGATATATATTTACTGAAAATTATCCTTAACATATAGGGGGATGTTTGCTGTTGTTTGGGATCAGTTTTCATTCTGTAGCCCGCACTGGATCAAACTTACGATAATCCTCCTACATCTTCCCAAGTACCAGGATTAGAGGTGTGAACCACAACACCCGGCTTAAATGTGTGGCTTTTAATTGCCTTTAAATTATTTTGTACAAAATGGAAACAGATTTGAAATCCCTCTCCCTGAGGACTGGCCTTCGTGACACCATAAGGCACCATGCAAGCTTCCAAAGGACGGGAACAACCAATAGTCCTACTCAGCTGTGATGCCCCTGAACCACAAAATGACTGGCATGCACAATAACCCCAAGGGTCCAGTAGTGGTACACATACTTGGGCTCTCTAACTGGATTTAATTTAAGATCAGCTCATTAAGAGGGAGGCCATTCCTGGTACTGGAACTCTAGCCAACTACCCAGAGCTAGTGAAAGCATGGATCTTGGAGAAGAACCTACAGCTGCCACTTTACTGAACCGTCATAATCCCCAAATATATTCTAAATATTTGTCCT